GCTGTTTAGAGGTTTAACAAGCACTCTTATAGAAAGAACTATAAAAGGCAAGTGGTATAAATAGACTAAAATTAATACAGGAACAAAACAGAGTTAGTTCCTGCTTCACTTGCCTCTACAGCTCTTTTAATTTTTGTATTTTTATAGTGTATTTAGCTGCAGTTTCATTTACAAGAAGTGTCAGCAGCATTTTTTGCAATGGTTGTTATGAAAGCCACAGTTTTTCCATCACTTTACAGACTGACTGCTGAATGTAACCAGTGTCTGGTAGAAATATGAAGTGGAACAATTTAAGCATTTGCTCTTAACTTGCCAAATGAGGATGACACTAAATTATTACAGAATTATAGGTTACTGAAGAAGGGAATAATTCACACTTTGGTAGGAAAAAGGCTCTAATTTGTGTATAGCTGCAGTGTGAGATAAGGCCAGGTTTAAATCATAAGCTTACAACAGAACTTGGCCAAATTCTTTGGCTTTGTTTATGGAGCTGAATTGCAAGTTTTCCAGACAGACCCCCAAAAACACAAGAGAGAAGTTGCATAAATTTATCCTTGTGGTCACTGTGACCTGAAGGAAGAATGCAGGAGTAAACTCAGAGAGTTGTTCCCATCTATGGCCATTCATCCACCTGCAGGAAATGGTGCCTAAGCCAGTCTAAAGAGGTGTCACTGCAGTTTTTTACTTAGATATGGAAATTACAATCCAGGGGAACAGAATAGGCTCACTGGGTCTCTCCTAGATTCATCGTATCTCAGCCATGCTCTTCCATGTCCTTCCTCTGTTGATTCCTCTCAGCTGGCAATTTGTGGTTTAAGAAGTTCCTGACCCAGGGTTTATCTCATGGTCAGTAGCCACTAGTAAGTCTATCCTCCATAAATATCTAGTCCTTTATGAGGCCACTTATATTTCTGCCCCCCATTTTTGGCAATGAATTCTAAATTATTTTGTGAAAAGGTGTTTGCTTCTATATGTTTTAAACCTGTGACTTCAGAATTTCTGTGACTGCCCTTTAGGTCATGGCTGGGAAAGAATAAAAAATCCCTTCCCATTCATCCAGCTCATACAGTTTTTGACTGTACAGATGTCTCTCACATTTTCCTCTTCAGTCATTCCTTCCCAGACCCAGAAATCTCAAGCTAGAGAGTCTCTCTCCCTTCTCAACCATATTTCATGCCTTTCATTACCTTCATCATCTTTTTTCTGTGCATTTCCTAGTTCTACTCTGCAGTTTTTTAAATGCAGGGAGAAGTGGGGTTGCACATAATAAATGGTATGGGTGTATCATTTATAAAGTTCCTGAGTGACAGTTTTGGCATTGCTGTCAGTTCTGTTTCTAATCATTACCAATAGTCTATTTGTCTTTTTGACTGTTGGTGAGCACTAAGCTATTTTTTTTTCCAGGAGGTTCTCCACCACTACACCAAAATCTTCTCTCAGACTGGCAGGTTATCAAACCTGCTTTTTTATCCTGTAATTTACCCATAATTCAGATTACATTGCCTCTTGTGCTTTATTTTCTGTTTGTTGTCATTACATGTCTTCCAGCATGCTGCTGCTCAGGCGCGTCAGATCTTTTCATTCTTCTCAGGGGGTTTCTGGAACAACTCTGTGTCATCAGCCAACTGCTCAGGAAACCATCCAGCTTGGCAGGAAGCACTGGGAAGAGCCCAGCCTAGCTGAACACTGGAGGGCACGGAATGAATCACCGTGCCATGCCTGGAGCCCGGTCTCCGAGGTGCTGCACAGAAAGAGAAGGGAATCCATGCTCCTGCAGTCCTGCCTGGCTCCCAGAGCTGTGCAGGGATGATCAGTGCTGTCATCACCAGATGGTGCTGCTGCATTCAGCCTCGCAAGGTCATTGTGTGTACGGATGTTTTGATTCCTTGAAGAAAATACTAAACTGGGGATGTTTTTCCACTGTGCAGATGTCTGGAGAGTAGGAACGTTCTGACTTCATGTCACTCCTCAGTTCTCTTTGAGAACAGGACATTTGGCCTTTGGCTGGGAGTTCAGAATAGGGGTGTGTTCAGATGCTGTTTGAGATGATCAGTTCCAGAATGTTCCAGTGTTTGAGTGGATAAACAAAATTAATTAGATTCCCATCATATGCATCCACATGACTGATTTTTCCTCCAGTAGAAAACTGGCCAGCAGTGAGTACTGCTGCTCATCAGAATTACTTACAACTCTAACTCACCTGTTTTTTCCATGAGTTTTAGAATACTTGCTGTTTTTTTAAATGTTCAGGTACAGAATTCATGCTATCACATGGGACTCCAATGCAAGAAGAGCCAATGAGCAGCATGTTTGGGAGCAAAATGTTCCAAACCTTTGCTAAGGCCAAGGATACACCAAGCTCAGCCAAGATCAGAGAGAAGGACCCTCCACAATGCCTGGCCCATGCAGCCCAGCTCTGTGCTGGCCATGGCCCAGAGCACCTTCCACCAAGCAAGAGGCAAATGCATGAATGAAAAATCCCAGATAGATAAGATGGGATAAGGGTGTGGATAAAGATCTTTTAATTCCCAGCTCTCTGCGAGAGCTTTGGGGCTCTTGGCTGGACAGAGATGCTCCTGCTCAGACCTCTACCGAAAGGTGGGTAAGACACCCTGCTGGCAGCTGCTTGGGTTGGTCTCTGCAGGCACAGAGAGAAGCCAAGCCTGCTCCTCACAGCCTTCCCCCTTCCCCTGGCCCTCTCCCAAGTGCCATGGGACACAAGATGTGAAAGGAGCACCAAGAGCCAGAGGGAGACATTTGTAGCTACCTCAGCACTTTCCTTAAGAAGTAAGCTCCTTGCCTCCAGAGGGATGGCCCAAACCTGTAGTTTTCTTGGGGAACGCCAGCACACACCTAAGAAAGCCTGGCAAGGCTGAACTCCTTCCAGTCCTCTGAGAACAGGCACTCCAGCTCTAGCTCCTATTGCTCGCAGTGTGTCTTGCAGGTTCAAACTAGTGGCCTTCAGTGTGTCCAGCAAGATCTTCAAGTGCACTTAATGTTGTGGAAGTGGCCCTTCCGGACAGGGCCCTTTGCAGAATGAAGTGCCCTTGTCCCTGTGTGTATGACCACAGCACAAGGGGCAAAAGCAAAGCAGAAGTGGGCCCATGTGCTGCAGGGCTGAGGGTTTGTGACGTTTGAGTTCCACAATGATGCAGCTCAGGGGGAGAAAGCGAATGTTTATTAACCAAAGGGGAAGGGGAGGGATGAACCTTATAAACCTGTGGGGAAGGGGAGGGCTGAAGCTTCTTAACCTAAGGGGAAGGGGAGGGATGAATCTTCTTAACTTAAGGGGAAGGGGAGGGATGAACGTTCTTCAGCCACAAAGTGGCTGGAGAGGGTAATCAGGCATTGGAATGGGCTGCCTAGGGAAGTGGTAGATTCTCTGTCCCTGGAGGTTTTTAAGATGAGATTGGATGTGGCACTCAGTGCCATGGTGTCGTGGGTTTACTCATCCTTTCCCCCCTGGAACTGAAGGTGGTTGGTTCCACAGGGGTGGACTTTCTGGTTCTGACCGGGAGAAGAACCAATTGAAAGCTTTAGCAATGCCTCTGCAAATTACATATTTAAAAGGCCCCAAGAGAAGCTTACTGTGCAGTAGAAATTGGAGACAGGAGAGTGAAGAGGGAGCTGCTGGGCCTGAGGGGGCCCCGGGTCGCCCTCGGCCCTGGCCCGGCACAGAACAGGGTGGTGGCCATGAATTTTGGCCCGTGGCAGCTGCTGGCCCGGAGTAGAGAGGCTCCTGCAGAAAGGCAGTGGCAGCCACGGAGCGGGTCCCGTGGTGCTTGGAGCAGCAGCAGCGCATGGCACGGAGTAGAGCGGGCCCAGAGTGGCCCGAAGCGGGCCCAGAGCGGCAGCAGTGCACAGAGTGGAGCGGACCGGCTCCCACAGCAGCTCAGAGCGAGGCGGGGGAGGGCAGACAGTGAGCAGTGAGCCCGGACGTCCCACCGTGCCCAGCCCAGCCCAGGATGCTGGAGCAGAGGGAGCGGCAGCAAGCAGGATGGACCAGAGTGTTCCCGCACCCGGGAGCAGAACAGAGCGGAGAGGAGGAGTGCAGCCAGCACAGCTACCGCTGCTGCTCAAATTTGCAACTCAGAGAGAGAGAGAAGCCACGCTGAGCAGGTTATTTCTGGATAGGACTCTGGTGAAAACTATTGGGGTATAGAGACTGAGCTGAATCGCAGAACCTGCGACCCGGGGGAGGTGTGGATCTGACTTGGAGGGGTCCCCTGAGAGCTTGCTCCCCTGGGAGGGACCCCACATAGCAGGGAAAAGACTCAGAGCTTTAACTCCCTGTAACCCATGGTAAAGATGATGGTGGAGCGGGTTGTCCCCCCACAGCCCATGAAGGACCATGGGGGGTGCAGAGACCTCCCGCACCCGCATAAAGAGAGACTTCAGCTATGGCCCTGAGAGTTCTCCTCCTGCATTGATGCAGGGGGCCAAAGGGTGGTTCAAAAGTGTATTTAACACTGTATTTTCTTACTTGTTAGTTTTTATTCTGTTAGCAATAAATTTGGATACTATCCTCCTGTTGAGTCTGTCTTGCCTGTGTGAACCTCTCTCAAGCTTTGGCAATTTTTGGGAGGGTTTGAATCCGGCCAGAGTAAACCCATGACACATGGTCTAGTAACCACGGCAGTAGCAGATCAAGGGTGGGACTTGATGATCTCAGAAGTCCCTTGATGATCTCAGATGTCCCTTCCAACCTGGTTGATCCTATAATTCTATGATTTTATGATTCTTAAGCTAAGGGGAAAGGGAGGGATAAACCTTCTTAACCTAAGGGGAAGGGGAGAGAAGAACCTTCTTAACCTAAGGGGAAGGGGAGGGAAGAACCTTCTTAACCTAAGGGGAAGGGGAGGGATAAACCTTCTTAACCTAAGGGAAGGGGAGAGAAGAACCTTCTTAACCTAAGGGGAAGGGGAGAGAAGAACCTTCTTAACCTAAGGGGAAGGGGAGGGAAGAACGTTCTTAACCTAAGGGAAGGGGAGGGAAGAACCTTAACCTAAGGGGAAGGGGAGGGATGAAGTGTGGGCAGGAGAAGGGAAGGGAGGGAGCTGTCCATAGGGATGGGGAGGCCAGGAGCTGCCTGGTTTTGCTGGCTGGCTCAGTTGGACCCAGCATCAGCTGCAGCTCCAGCTGTGCTGAGAAGCTGACTCGTCCCTTGGTCTTTCGGTGCTGTTGGAGGGACGGTGGTTGTGTCGGTGGAGAGGATTACTTTGTTACTGCCCGTCGAAAAGCGGACAAGGCTGCAGTCCGCATGGTGGAGTAGGAGGGGCAGTCATCTTCAGTCATGACTTCAAGGGCTGGAAGAGAGAGGAATGGAGCCAAGGTAAGAACCTGGATCTGCAGGGACTCGAGGAGCCCCTCCTGAAAGGCCATCCCAGCCAGTTTTGCCATGGCCAGGAGGGAGAAGGGGTCAACAGGATGTGGGAGAAGGGGCCAACAGGATGAGCGGGAAGGTGCCAGCCCTTGATGCCCCATGTGCCCCTGAAATATGTCCCTGCTCTGCCCACAGGGCAGCTTGTCCATGCAGGGAGCAGAGCCCTGCGCAGGTGGGGCAGGGATTGCAGCTCCCTGCCCAGGGTCTGTGCTCCTCCCCGCCAGCCCCCAGTGAGAGCCCACTGTCCTCACTCACCCTTCATGATGGGCTGCAGGTCTTTCATGTGCCAGGCGGCGACTCCTGGGAACACAGAGTGTGTCAGGGCCCCAGCGGCACAGCTCCACCCCATCAGCACTGCCAGCCCAGCCACACGGCCACACCTGGCCTGGCAGGGCTGAGCCCGGGGCATTCCCGCATCGGGACACCCAAGGATCAGCTGGCAGAGGGCGGCAGCAGCTGCCAGGGCACTCGGAATTTCACAGCATATCCCTGGGCTGCATCCTGCTGCCGCTGGAGCAGCTGGGGCTGGGGACGAGCTGCAGTGGGGAGGGAGGGACCGCGGGCTTGTGGCTCACCCATGAACTTGATGGCCGCCTCTCGCAGGGGCTGCTGTGGGCTCTGCAGGTAGGGCAGGGCCTGGCGCAGGTGCTCGTCCCTTCGGCTGACATCCTTGTCCATCTGCAGAGAGCAGCAGGGCACAGAGGGAAGGGTTGGCTGAGGCTCTGCCCCTTGGCCGGGCACTGCCTGCTCCCAGCACTGGCCTCCCCTGCCCACACAGCCCTGAGGCCCAGTGGTGCCGGGCTCTGGAGGGAGCAGAGCTGCTCGTGGGGAGCCTTGGGGCCACCCTGCCCCACAGCCCAGCTGGGCTGGGGCTCCAGCAGCCCCCTGGCTCAGGGGCACCAGAGCCTGGAGAAGAGCCCACACGGCCGAGGGAAGGGAGCAGCGTGTGGGGCACAGGCTGGTGTCCCACAGCTGGCTGCAGCAGTGGGCAGGGGCACAGGGCCAGCCCCACACACTGGGCATCGGGGGTGAGGGCTTGTCCAGCCTGGGGCTGGGCCTTTTGGGTGGTCCTTACCAGGCAATCGCAGAACTCAAAGTGCTGCTGTTTCCTCAGCAGCTGCTCAAGATCCCTTCTCTTGAGGAAACTTGCAGCACAAAGGAGTGTTTTCCGAGAGGCCTGCAGAGCACCAGAGACCAAGACATGGCACCACAGCCCTGGGCACAGCACCTACATCCCTGGGCCAAGGCCAGGAAGAGGCCAGAGCCCACCAGGCACCAGGACAAGAGGCAGTCGAGCCCCCTGCCACGGGGACAGCAGAGCCCACAAGTGCTCACCTCTGCCACGCACTGGTTCTCGTCAAGGCAGTGGAAGAACAGCGGCACCAGGCTCTGCCGCACAAGTGTCTTTTGTCCCTCTTCTGCCAGAAACTCCATCATTTCTCGGAAGAGACGAATGGAGAGCAGCTGCACGTGGCTGTTGTCCTGGTGTAGAAGAAGAGAAAAAGACCTCAGCATTGGCTGCTCCAGGCCCACCAGGCAGAGGCCTGAAAATCCACAGGGCACAAACTATCCTGGCAGCCTCAGAGTCTTACATTGTCAAAGAGTGGCCGAAGTGACTCAGCCAGCTTTGGGGCAGCGGAGCTGAACGCCTGAAGGTCTTCGTCCCGGAGCACATTGAGGAACACAGAGAGGGTCATCCCGACCAGCTCTCCATCTTCATGATGCAGCAGCTCCAGGAGGCTTCCAGCCAGGCTGCAGATGCTTTCGGCCTGTGTGGAACACAGTGCTGTGCTGTGAAGCCCTGAACAGCTGCCCCACCAACAGCTCTCTGGTGGTGCAACCCCACAGGGCCCAGAGGCCAAAGGCCTGTCCCACAGGGCCTGGGCAGCTGTACAGGGAGGCAGGAGAGCTGGGAGCAGCTGCCACAGCTCCCAAAGCCCAGCCAAGCCCAAGTGCCTGCGTTCCCCAGCCCCAGGCTGCCAGTGTGGCTTCAGCCAGGTGTCCCCTTCTCACCATTGAGGGATCCACACTGAGAAACAGGAGGCCTCTGAGTGCCAGGCGACGCCTGTCTGGGCACTGGCTCTGCAGGTTCCTTGACAGGATGGGCAGGACCCTGTCATGACACTCTCTTCCATCCAGATAGTCCAGGAGCTGGAAGGCAGAGAGCAGTGACGGGGTGCCCGGGTGGCAGGAGCCTGGAGCTGCCCAGGGCTGGGCCCAGGCAGCAGCACAGGGCCCAGGCACCGCCCCGGGCAGCTGCGGCTGTGAGAGGGCAGAGAGGGGGAGGCAGGCGGGCCAGGCAGCGCTCGCCATCAGGCTCACCTCCACAAGGAAGGCCAGGGCAGGGAGCTCCCAGCGAGGCTGGTCCCTGCTGAGCAGCCCAAGCAGGTGGATTGTCATCTGGGAATGGAAGGGGACCAAGACACTGCGCAGCTCCCTGTCAGGAGGAAAAACAGAGCCATCGAGCCTGAGCTGGGTGGGCAAAGCTCTCCAAGGACTAACTCCAGGACAGAGGCCTAGATTTTTCCCACCAGCCCTGGACGGAATGGGGATGTTTTGGGAGGTGGCTCCTCCTGTGCACCTGCCTCTCACAGCATTTTCCAATCTGCTCAGCCATCTCTTGCTGTCAAGGCCCTCTGGCCCATGCCCACAGGGGCTGTGTGGAATGCCTCATGCCAAGGGGAGAGATGATGGGGGCAGTGGGGAGAAGGGTGTCTCACCTGGCCAGCAGCCCCACTGCATAGTGGTGGGTGTCACAGCACAGCAGTGTCTCCCAGCCACACTTCCGTTCAATGGCCAACACCTCATTCTCCCAGCGCAGGCGGCAGAGCAGGGCCTTCAGGGTCTGTACTGCAAACCTGTGTGCAGAGTAAAGGCCAGGTCATGCTGGGAGCCCTGGCCTCAGCCCCAAGGGCACGGGAGGGATAGAGGAGTGGGATGGATCACCTGTTGGGGTTGCTGGGAAGGCCATATTGCTCCTGGCATCCCCTCCAGAAAGTGCTGACATCCTCTGGCATCTGCTCTGTGCTCATGAAAATTTGGAAGAGCAGAGCCACTAGAAGATGGGGGGCATAATTGATTACAGCATCTTGGCACTCGGGCTCCTGGATGATCAGCCAGAGTGCCAGGGTTGCCTGCAATAAAATGACACAGAGACAGCACTCAGTGTGAGAGGTCCATGTGGTGGGGCCAGAGAATGGAAGGGAGAGGCCATGGGAGAGCCAGTGAGAGCGGCCAGCCTGGTGTCCCTGAACCTGCCCCTCAGCCACAGTTGTAGCCCAATGCCTGAGGCAGGGAGATGCAGTGGTGGGGGAGGATGGAGAGTCACTGGAGAGGCGACCTGGGGAGGAGCAAAGGCCAGATCCAGAAACTCACAGCCAGGGCAAAGATGTCTGTGTCATCGCCATCACAAGTGGACACGCTGTGCACTGGCCAGTCCTCCATAACTTCGAGCAGTGTTGGCAGCACCTTCTCCACTGTTGTTCCCGAGGAGGCGATGCTGCTCCACATCACTGCAGCAGCTCTGTGGAGTCAGAGCTCTGGGTCAGGGGTGTCTCAGCCACAGCGCCATGGCCTGGGCAGCTGTGGGGGCCCAGGTGACAGAGCCAAAGTGCCTTCAGAGGCAGGGAGGGCACATGGCTGCAGGATCAGGGGCTGATAGGCCAGGGCTGGGACATGGAGGGACCAGAGTGTCCTGGAAGTCTCCATCTCTCTGGCAGACCAGGTGGGACAGGCTCTAGAGGGTGATGGGTTGTAAGGGTTGGTGATCCCTGAGCCACCAAGGCAGCTGGGCCCTGTACCTGTCACACGCTGGGGCACAGTGCAGGAGAGTCATCACAACCTCATGAGGGTTTGTGTCAGCGAGGCTGCGGATGTCAACGTGCTGCCTGACATCTGGAGACACGTGGAAGGTGAGGCACTGGTGGATGTACCTCACGATGGCTGGCACCTGGAGGGGGAATGGGGGAGAGTTGTCAGAACTGCCACAGCGAGCAGGGTGCCCAGTTTCCCCCAAGAAGGGCTTCCCTTCCCACCACAGAGTGCAGCCTCAAAGGCTTAGAGGGCTCAGCAGACACAGTTGGAGGGGCTACAAGACCCCTGGTGGGCAGGAGCCCTGGCCACAGGCTGCTTGCCTGCTTGCTTCTGATTTTAGGCACCTTTCTCCTCTAAAAAGTTCAGACTGGGAGCTGTCTTGGGTTTCTGTGGCCAGGTCTTGGTAGCAGGGTTCTACAGGGGTGGCCTCTGTCAGAAGCTGCTCAAAGCTTCCCCCATGTGGCAGAGCCAATGCCGGCTGGCTCCAGGACAGAGCTGCCCCTGGCCAAGGCCAAGCCACCCAGGAATGATAATAATGCCACTGTGATCCCATATTTAAGAGGGGAAAGAAAATTCTTGCGCAGATACAAATTGCAGCCAGGGAAGAATAGAGTGAGAACATGTGAACCACAACATGGAAAGCAAGGAGGAGGAGGAGGAACTCCGGGTGTTGGAGCTGAGGTTCCCTTGCAGCCCGTGGTGCAGATCCTGGTGAAGCAGCTGTGCTCCTGCAGCTCATGGAGGAGAGCACCAGGGTGCAGAGATCCCCCTGCAGCCTGTGGGGGAGCCCCTGCGGCAGTGAGTGGATTGTCAAAGGAGGCTGTGAGCCCGTGGGAGGCCCATGGTGGAGCTGGGTGCTGGCAGGGACCTGCAGCCCATGGACAGAGCCCACGCAGGAGCAGGTTTCCCTGGCAGGACTTGTAGCCCTGTGGAGGACCCACACTGGAGCAGTTTGTTCCTGAAGGCCTGCACCCATGGAGGCACCTGGATGAGAGGCAGCCGAGACCCCTGCCACAGGGACACCAGAGCCCACAAGTGCTCACCTCTGCCATGCACTGGTTCTCATCATCCCAGCGGAAGAATGGGACCAGGCTCTGGTGCACATCCGTCTTTCCCTCTTCTGCTACCAATTCCATCAGCTCTCGGAAGAGGCAAATGGAGAGCAGCTGCACGTGGCTGTTGTCCTGGTGCAAAAAAAGACAAAAAAGACCTCAGTATTGGCTGCTCCAGGCCTACCAGGCAAAAACAGAGCCCAAAAATCCCCAAGGGCATGAAGATTCTAGGAATCACCAGAGCCTTACATTGTGAAAGAGAGGCCGAAGTGCCTCAGCCAGCTTTGGGGCAGCGGAGCTGAATGCCTGAAGGTCTTCGTCCCGGAGCACATTGAGGAACACAGAGAGGGTCATTCCGACCAGCTCTCCGTCTTGATGATGCAGCAGCTCCAGGAGGCTTTCAGCCAGGCTGCAGATGCTTTCGGCCTGTGTGGAACACAGTGCTGTGCTGTGAAGCTGCCCCACCAACAGCTCTCTGGTGGTACAACCCCACAGGGCCCAGAGGCCAAAGTCCTTTCCCACAGGGCCTGGGCAGCTGTACAGGGAGGCAGGAGAGCTGGGAGCAGCTGCCACAGCTCCCAAAGCCCAGCCAAGCCCAAGTGCCTGCATTCCCCAGCCCCAGGCTGCCAGTGTGGCTTCAGCCAGGTGTCCCCTTCTCACCATCGAGGGATCCACACTGAGAACCAGGAGGCCTCTGAGTGCCAGGCGACGCCTGTCGGGGCACTGGCTCTGCAGGTTCCTTGACAGGATGGGCAGGACCCTGTCATGACACTCTCTTCCATCCAGATAGTCCAGGAGCTGGAAGGCAGAGAGCAGTGACGGGGTGCCCGGGCAGCAGGAGCCTGGAGCTGCCCAGGGCTGGGCCCAGGCAGCAGCACAGGGCCCAGGCACCGCCCCGGGCAGCTGCGGCTGTGAGAGGGCAGAGAGGGGGAGGCAGGCGGGCCAGGCAGCACTCGCCATCAGGCTCACCTCCACAAGGAAGGCCAGGGCAGGGAGCTCCCAGCGAGGCTGGTCCCTGCTGAGCAGCCCAAGCAGGTGGATTGCCATCTGGGAATGGAAGGGGACCAAGACACTGCGCAGCTCCCTGTCAGGAGGAAAAACAGAGCCATCGAGCCTGAGCTGGGTGGGCAAAGCTCTCCAAGGACTAACTCCAGGACAGAGGCCTAGATTTTTCCCACCAGCCCTGGACGGAATGGGGATGTTTTGGGAGGTGGCTCCTCCTGTGCACCTGTCTCTCACAGCATTTTCCAATCTGCTCAGCCATCTCTTGCTGTCAAGGCCCTCTGGCCCATGCCCACAGGGGCTGTGTGGAATGCCTCATGCCAAGGGGAGAGATGACGGGGGCAGTGGGGAGAAGGGTGTCTCACCTGGCCAGCAGCCCCACTGCATAGTGGTGGGTGTCACAGCACAGCAGTGTCTCCCAGCCACACTTCCGTTCAATGGCCAACACCTCATTCTCCCAGCGCAGGTGGCAGAGCAGGGCCTTCAGGGTCTGTACTGCAAACCTGTGTGCAGAGCAAAGGCCAGGTCATACTGGGAGCCCTGGCCCCAGCCCCAAGAGCATGGGAGGGATAGAGGACTGGGATGGAGCACCTGTTGGGGTTGCTGGGAAGGCCATGTTCCTCCTGGCATGCCCTCCAGAAAGTGTTGACGTCCTCTGGCATCTGCTCTGTGCTCATAAAAATTTGGAAAAGCAGAGCCACTAGAAGCTGTGGGGCATAACTTATCAGGGCCTCTTGGCACTTGGGCTCCTGGATGATCAGCCAGAGTGCCAGGGTTGCCTGCAAGAAAACCACACAGAGACAGCGCTCAATGCAAGATATCCATGTGGCAGGGTCCAAGTGTGGGAGGGAGAGGCCATGGGAGAGCCAGAGGGAGCAGCCAGCCTGGTGTCCCTGAACCTGCCCCTCAGATTGATTTGCAGCCCAATGCCTGAGGCAGGGAGATGCAGCGGTAGGGGACGTGACCTGGGCAGGAGCAAAGGCCAGATCCAGAAACTCACAGCCAGGGCAAAGATGTCTGTGTCGTCGCCATCAGAGGTGGACACGCTGTGCACTGGCCAGTCCTCCATCGCTCGGAGCAGCGTTGGCAGCACCTTCTCCGCTGTTGTTCCCGAGGAGGCGATGCTGCTCCACATCACTGCAGCAGCTCTGTGGAGTCAGAGCTCTGGGTCAGGGGTGTCTCAGCCACAGCGCCATGGCCTGGGCAGCTGTGGGGGCCCAGGTGACAGAGCCAAAGTGCCTTCAGAGGCAGGGAGGGCACATGGCTGCAGGATCAGGGGCTGACAGGCCAGGGCTGGGAAATGGAGGGACCAGAGTGTCCTGGAAGTCTCCATCTCTCTGGCAGACCAGGTGGGACAGGCTCTAGAGGGTGATGGGTTGTAAGGGTTGGTGATCCCTGAGCCACCAAGGCAGCTGGGCGCTGTACCTGTCACACGCTGGGGCACAGTGCAGGAGAGTTGTCACCGCATCACAGGGGTGTGCCTCAGCGAGGCTGCGGATGTCAATGTGCTGCCTGACATCTGGAGACACCTGGGATGTGAGGCACTGGTGGATGTACCTCACGATGGCCGGCACCTGAACAGGGAGTGGTGGAGAGTTGGAGAGTTGTCACAGCGAGCAAGTTGCCCAGCTTCCCCCAAGAAGTGCTTCTCTTCTCACCACTGAGTGCAGCCTCAAATGCTTAGGGGGCCCAGCAGACCCATCTCGAGGGACCACAAGACCCCTGCAGCCCTTGAGCCCTGTCCAAAGGCTGCTTACTTGCTTCCGACTGAAGACACCTTTCTCCTGGAAAAAGTCCAGATTGGGAGCATTGGTGACACTCTGAGTGGGGGTGGTGTCATCGTTTCCAATGCCTTCAGTCGTGGCGTCACCCTCTGCCATGAGATCAGTTGGTTCGGTTTCAGCGTTGATTGTGTCATGGGTCAACGCAGTCTCAGGCTGTGCTGTGTCATCCATTGGTGCCGTGGCTGAGCTTGATGTGCCATCAGTCGGCATCGGTGTGGTGTCAGCCCGTGCCACGATATCAGTGTCGGAGCTGGTTCTGTCATCAGCCAAAGCCGTGTCAGGCTTTGCTGTGCCCTCCATTGGTGTCCTGTCAGAGTTTGATGTGCCATCGATCAGCATCGGCACCACGTCAGCCTTGGCCATGACATCAGTGGCTGCAGTGTCAGAGCCGATTGTGTCATCAGCCAAAGCGGTGTCAGGCTTTGCTGTGCAATGAGTCAGTTCGATGTCATCCTTCGCAGTGAGATCGGCCAGTGCGGTGTCAGGGTTGGCCGTGTCCTTGGTCACAGCAGTGTCAGAGGTTTCCGTGCTGTCAATCGGTGCAGTGCTGACATCAGGCTTCTCCTTGATCTCGGTTGTCCTGGTGTCAGGCTCTGCCAGAACCTCAGGTGGTGTGGTCCTGGGTGTTCTGCGCCGAATTCCCATGAATTTCAGAAACCTCTGCACCAGAACAAAAGGCAGGGAAGAGAGAGAAGTCAGACGGAGTGATCCACCAGCGGTGCCAGGCTGAGCAGTGACAGCAGGCCCAGCCCAGGGGGGGATGGCTGCAGGTACCTGAACTGCTCTGCGGAAACGGCCATGGGGGCGGTCCTGCTCCTCTGTCCGGTTCTGGCCTGGATCTGTCAAAGAGCGAGTGCAGGCAGAGCTGAGGGGCTGCAGGAGAGGCCAGGGAACACAGCCCAGCCCTGTGCTCCAGAGGCAGGGCCGGCCCTGGGGTGCCCAGTGGATGGAGCACGGATGCCGTGGAGGTCAGCCTTGGGCCCTCTTCCTCCCTCCCTTTCCCTGAGTGTGTCCACAGGGGATGGGAGGGGGCCAAGTTGGCTGCAGCCAGCAGCCCTGTGGCCCAACTCCAGCACTCACCCTGCTGCAGGGCCTGGAAGTGCTGCATATCCTCAGACTGCTGTGCTGGGGCAGCCCCAGGGCCTTCTCTCGTCCTCTTCAGCCTGAGCAGCCTGCGCAGGCCGGAGCGTCTCCCCGCCATCCCACACGTTGACCTCGTGAGTACGAGAGACGCCTCGGAAAAGACCCTGGTCTCCAAGTCTCACAGAGTGTCTTCAAGGGCACCTTCCCCAGGGAGTGGGAATGCCCAGGAAGAACTCCGGAACACAAAGTCGAGTGGTCTGGCCTCGAGGGCACCTTCCACAGGGACTGCAGGTGACCAAGTCCCGTGGTCTGGCCTCGAGGGCACCTTCCACAGGCACTGGTGATGCCCAGAAAAGCTCCGGGTCACCAAGGCCCGTGGCCTGGCCTCGAGGGCCACGCCCACAGGGAGCGGGGATGCCTCAGAAAAGCTCTGGGTCACCAACTCCCGTGGTCTGGCCTCGAGGGATCTTGCTTTAAAAAGAGCTCTCGGAAATGCTTCGGATCAGCGACGAACGAGTTGGCTGCGAGGAGACTCCTCACAGCACGGCTCAGTCCCGTCCTGACCAGACGCGTGCTCCGAGCACTGTGGCGCGGCCGCGTTGCCGCCCAACACCTATATCAGGATGTGTCACAAAGGGTCCTTGGACAAACTGCTCTGTCCCATCCCATTGATGATGGCCACCATGTCACAAAGGGCTCTGTGACACGCAGACACATGCCCTGAGGCTTCCCCATTGTGGCCAACCTGCCCCAGGTTGGAATGAGTGCATTCCTTAAAGCATCTGAGACAGCCGGATGTGAACTTTAGGAACGGCTGCAAAAAGCAGCAAACACTCCCCTCCTGTGCCACTGCCCCGAGTCCTGGCAGGGATGGTGCCCATCTCCTGCCCCAAACACCTGTGCCCCTGGGGACTTCCCTGCCACAGGGCAGCCAAAGCCAACAGGCTTTCATGGCTGTGCTCTTGCAAGGGGCTGTTGGGAGGAGCTGCTGCAGCAACTGCTGGCAAGGCTTGGCATCTGTCAGAAGGCAGAAGCTGTGGCTCCTTGCTGGAACAATTTCTTCATGGAAGTGATTACCTGCAGCACAAAAGCATCTTTGCTGGGAAGGCACAGAAGAATCTGGCCTTTAATAAACCTAAATTGAGGAAAGCATTACTTCCCATTACTCAACACAGGCAGTTGAAAGAAGTGGCAAACTTCCCAGTTTAACTGAATTGGGAAGACTCGAGAATGTCAAAGGTTTGGAAGTTTGCTTCCCCTCTCAAACCGGCAACTCCTTTGCCTTCACATGGTCCATTGAGAGTCAATTTCAAAAACTAAACAGAAGCAAAAAAACTGGGCATGGTTGTTTGGTTTGCAAGCAGTTTTCTATTAAGGAAAAGGAATAGAATAATTCTGGTAAATGATAAAAGCTCTTTTAGGGAACAAAAGTTCCCTCAGTGTTCCAAAAGCAACCCAAACAAGGGAGGATATGGCAAAAACAGTAATCCTCCCTCTGGTGCAGAGAGCTGACTGGCCAGGAAAGCCTTTGAAGGGCTCTCAGCAAAGTAAAATCTGTATTGGATGATTTGGAGTTGAGAGAGCGAGTGCTCCAGCCTTTTTAAAGCCTTCCGACTCATCCTGTGGACACTCATGCGGGTACTTTAAAGTTCAGGCTGTCTTGAAATCTTGCCTGCAGCCATGAGGGAGTCCAGGGGAAGTCTTCTAAGAACTGTGGGTTGGCCCTGGTGGTCAGGGTGGATTCTGTCCTGGTTCATGTGGACAGCTCCAAGGGACAGCTCTAAGTAAGGAGGAGAGAGAGGACGAAAGTGCCAAGTGACAACTAGTGATGCTCTTGAGAAGGGAGATAGGGGGCTTTTTTATTTGAGGGTGTCATGAAAGCAGCGGAGTGGTGAATCAAGACACGGAAGTGAGAGCAGATACACAGATGATAGAAAGAAATGTTTCTTTTGGACCAGCTCGCTGCTGTGGGATGGAGGAAGCCAAGAAGTTATGAATATTCAAAGAAGGGAAAATAAAACTCCCCAGAATGATCACAGCTCATGCTAGAATGCATTTCAGAAGGAACATCAATGTCCACTCCCCTGCACCCCACCCCATCCAAAAACCCTCAAATAATTAAATCTTCGAGTCTTTCATGAGAAAGGAGTACTCTGTGTTTACTTGGCCATACCTGCTGTTAAAAGGTCTGGAGCTGGTCACTGCTGGACACAAGATCCCCTAGTGTGTGGTGGCTGGATTTTGTACAGTTATGCAATTTCTAAGGTGAAGCCTGTGTTCCTCCCCAGGCTGACCTGTCCCATCTGAGCTCCAAAAAATCTTCCACACTTCTTTTTTCTGGCTAATAGGGAGAGATCAAGGAACTTAGAAGCCTCAGAAGGAGGCATGTCAGAAATCTGATTTCAGACTCTACCAGGTTTTCTGTCAGAAAACCTGCTTCCCTGTGAGGAATGATGACATTACTGAAGCTGTTCCACCTGCTCTCTCTAGAGGAGGTAATGGGACGCCCCCTGCTCTTCCCGAGGCTGGAATGAGCCTTGGCTTGGTGCTCCTGCAAAACTTGGAGCTCTGGAAGAAGAAAAGAGCATGGGCAAGGGGGCAAGGAAGAAAGGGGGTGGGAAACCAGGGGCAGTCTGCTCTGGCATGGCTAGAATGGGAAAGATGAAGGGTTGAGGTGAGAAGAGTGGTCTGGAAAAGTACAAGAAAAGAAACGAGGAAAGAAACACACCCTCAAAAAAGGCTGGAAGCTCTCAGCCAGCCTCGGCACCATCCAGCTGCACTGGGGTTGTTCAAAGGACCATATCCTAGGCATTGCAACCTCACTGGGACGATGTCAGCCAAACAGTGCCACAGGGAAAGCAGGATTTTCTTGTTCGCTACTCAGTCACCCCATTTTGCTGTGAACTTTGGAAAGCAGTTAAAAAATCTTTTCATTCCGACTTTATTAAGAAAGTGCGATCAAAGCTCCCAAGAAACGCGCCCCAAAACAAAGCCAGTGCCAAAAACGTTAATCCGCTGCAATTACTGCCCAACCGGCAGAGCTGTTCCAATAAAGATTCCAAGGCAAACCCATCCCATCCCGATGTCCTCCTCCGTGCGAGCGGCTGGGGCAGCGCTGCCCTGGGTCATTGCTCTGGCCGTGCAGGCGCCGAGATGCCGCAGGTCGGAGCAGGGGCAGGCTCAGCCCTCGCCGGGAGATGCGGAGCGGCGGGTTTGGAGCCCGGCGGGCGGGGCGGAGGTTTGTCCCGGCCTTGTCAGCGGCTGTGTGTCCCCGCCGCGCTTCTCGGGGCTGGGCAGCGGCTCCTCCCGGCGGCAGCTCCCGGCTCCTGCCGGCCGGGCCTGGGCTAAAGCGGGGCGGGACGGGAGCGAGCCGAGCCGGGCGCCCGCCCGTCCCCAGCCCGGGCCCGCCCCCGCGGCGCGGCTTCGCGGCTCCTCCCCGCCCGGCACCGCCCCACGCCCAGGTGTCCCCGAGTCGAGCACAGCCCGGCCGAGCTCAGCCCCGCCCAGCCCAACCCAACCCAACCCAACCGAGCCGCTCCCCCCAGGCAGGAGGAGGCCGGGCCGGGCGGTGGAGCGGCTGCGGGAGGCGGGCGGTGCGCGGCGGTTCCGCAGCTCCGGCATGGCCCGGGGGCGGGCGCGGTGCCGCCGCCCGGCCCCTTGAGGAGGTGCGGCGGGGCTGCTGCCGGCCCGGCAGGAGAGGCTGGGTGCGTGTCCCGGCGGGAGAGCGCTGTGGCTGTGCTCCGGGCTCCCGGCGGGGCGGGCATGTCCGGAGCCATGAAGTTCAACGGCGACCTGAAGGTGCGCATCGGGGAGGCGGTGGGGCTGCAGCCCACCCGCTGGTCCCTCCGGCACTCGCTCTTCCGCAAGGGCTACCAACTCCTGGATCCCTATGTCACCGTCAGCGTGGACCAGGTGCGCGTGGGGCAGACCAGCACCAAGCAGAAGACCAACAAACCCACCTACAACGAGGAGTTCTCGGCCACGGTCTCCGACGGCCATCAGATCGAGCTCTCCGTCTTCCACGACACCCCCATCGGCTACGATGACTTCGTGGCCAACTGCACCTTGCCCTTCCAGGACCTCCTGCGCTCCGCCGGCCCCAGCGACAGCTTCGAGGGCTGGGTGAGTGGCCGCTTTCTGTGGGGGAGAAGCTGAGCCGGACTCCTCTCGCAATGAATGGAGACGCCGGAAGGGGACTCGCAGAGCTGGGGCTTGTCCTCGCCTGCCTGTGCCGCAGCCGCGCGATGTGTGTGTGTCTGCACGGACACAGGGCTGTTCCTTCCCGCACTTCTTTGTGCCCCTCTGCTTTAGGTTGGCATAGGCTGCTGCTGCAGCTGATGCGTTTGGGGACCCTAAGAGCAAAATGTCTCAGGTGTGGTAGCTGGAGGGTGCAGCCGCTGGAGCAGTCTGTCCTCTTTGTAGACTACCAGAAGACTTGGAATAGATAACTGAGAGGAAGGTGTCCATTCTTCCTCCTGCTTAGCACTGCACAGAGACGTACTTGGAGACGTGGATAGCTGGGGTTGTATTTCTGCTCAGCTCTCCACATGCTTGCACAAGAGTTTGCTGTGTGCCTGCGAATTTCTGGGACTTCTTACCAGAATGTCAGGAGTAGCCTTGTGTCTGTTCTGTACAGTGTTGTTCTGGGTGAAGACAGTTTCACGTAGAGCTAGTTCTAGGTTATTTCCAAGTCAATGTCACTTGCATCCAGCCCAGAGAACGTCCTTTATGCCTTAGTCGTGATGTCAGAGAAATAGTACAGGCTCTAAAGTTGCACCTTTGCTTCCAGGACTGTAAAGGAGGAGCAAGTGATTGTGTTGATCCAGACAGTAGTTTGCTTATCAGAGTTAGGGGGAAAAGGCATTTCGGAGTAGAGAAGGTGCAGAAGAGATGAGAATTTTTGAGCTAGATGTCAACATTTTGAGGCCAAGAAGCTCAGCGTGTGCAGTCAGGTAACCAGCAGAATAAATCAGATGGGGAGGAAGGAGAGCTGAGAGTGTAGAGAACAGATTGACATCTTGATCCTATGGCAAGGAGATCAGTGGTGCTTTCTGCTCTCAGCCAGGGTCTGTGGCTGAGGTGTGATGCTTCACCTTTGGGGTGCTTAGAGTGATTGATGGATAGGTGTAGATTGATGCTATTTTAGTTGTTTATTATGGGGTGCTCAGGTACCCTATGGATAGGCTTGAAGTTGATGTCCTGAAGGTGTTGTCTCTGAGACAGTCAGTGCTGCAACTGAGTGTGGGACAGAAGGGCCCTGGCCCAGCTGCAATGGCTGAGCTGAGGTGTCGCCTCAGGCAGAGCAGAGTTACTGGGGGTTTGCTCAGTGGGTGCGTGCCCAGCTTGCCAGGCTCCCTGGAGAGAAACTGCTGGTGGGACTTGTGCTAAAGCAGCTATACATATGGCCCAGAGCCCTGCGGACAAGGCAAAGGAGTGAGTTCAGGAGAGTGAGCTGTGGTTTTGAGGGTTTTCTTCATGTTTGCTTTGCTGGGGGTGTTTCCTCTTTGCTGTTGAGTGAGGCCCTGTCCTCTTGGGAGGCTGGAATTGTGGTTGTGCTGGGGCTGGCTACATGTGGGATTGGACTGCTGTGCTGCAGAGGTGGTGGCCTTATTCCCATGACTAAAATAT